TCCACGTGTTGGGATCCTCGTCACCAAGCGGCGAGACATCTCGTGCTCAATCTCACCGGCAAACATTGGGATCGTGCAGAATCTGCCCACGCAGCATCAAATCGTAACATCAATCTTACCGAACAAAACACATTTGCTGCACAACCCCAAAAAACCACAACGCAGAGTTTGCTACTAAAAAAAAGCACGGAACACCGCGTATTCTTGCGAAACAATAAAGGCTTACGTTGTAGTCTTAGAGTCATACTGCGAGCTATACTGCACGCTCGGGCAATTATTGTATTCACCGCATGGGACAAAGTAAAACGCAATTCAATCACTGCCCCGGCATCTTGCGGTAACGTTTCTGGGTCAGCCAGCCGCGCGCTTTTTGTTTTTTTGTTTTCTCCCGGACCGTAACGCGATCCTGTCGAGCTGTGGCCGGTCTCGGTGAGAACGCGAACGTCGTTTTCCCAGCCAACACACGCCTGGATTCGCGTTTTCAAACTAAGAAAATATGTTTTATGTCTGCAGTTAAGGCCCACTGAAGCTATGTAGCTGTATTTTAGAAGCGATCTGGCTCATGTGAAAATGTAAAAATGTATAGCAGCCAAATACTCTAAACATGCAAACTGCAAATATACAGCAGCAGGCGTCAAGGGTCGGGATCGAACCGACGACCTTCTGCATACCAGGCGAGGTAGTTCACATCTCCTAGCCACCGTGATGATGCTGATGACGACGGAGACACGCAAACTCCAAATATACAGCAGGTGTCAGGGTCGCGATCGAACCGACGACCTCCTGTATACCGTAGTTTTGTAGTTTCATTTATTTGGTATAGCCCTGTGAGCCATTCGGCTCTTGAATCGGGTGCAACCGCAACAAACAATAAACAAAAACATGAACAAGAAAACATCTTAAAGTGACTATGTGTGACTGTGCAAACAGAAAATCCAGGAAATAAACCATCAAAATATTCATGAAATAGCACCGTACACCAACGCTGTGTGCAAAAATCCCAGTGGGATGCAAGTCAAACAACAACAACCACAAGACAACTAAGATTAAGGCCAACAGTCGAACTCCGTACTACAATAAACAAAAAACATGGCCAAACCAAAACCAAAACCAAAACAACGTTTTAGAAATCACCAAAATAAAACCATAAATGCAATGTAACAGTGTTCATAGGGACTGTAACCGATTTTTTTAAAACAATAAACTACATACAGGCGAGGCGGTAAACAATCCCGCCACCACGAAGCCCATCGCGGCGATGCCCTCCCGCCAGCGCACGGCAGCGCCGCTCATCCACGCTCGCTCGGCAGTTGTTGCGAAATCATGGGAACGACTCCTATCGGGAAATGTCATCGCTTCACGCGACACTTGCCGTCGCTTATTCCCTCCGGCGAGAGCGCGCGAGGGGTCGGTAGGGTTGGCTTCTCTCTTTTGTGTCGTCTCGCACAATTCTATCGCGGTTGCGTCGTCGGCGTCGTGTCACTGACGATGCGAACTGTGCACTCGCTCGCTCTCTCTCTCTCTGGGGCTCGCGCACAGAGGCGGCGCGGCATCACTCGGTTCTCCCCACGAACCCACGACCACAACGGCCACCGCTACCGCCATCATCGAAGACGAAGATGCCCCGCATAGCGAGCACCTATGAAGGCCCGCACGGCACGCGAGGGGACGGGGGGGGGGTGGTGGTGGCCAGCACCACGCCTGGCCGCCTTTGTTTCCCCAGCGGTGATTTTTTTTACACACCAGGTTAGGTATTTGAGGCTGAGTCGACCTAGGGGAGGAGGCCCCGGACCGGTTCAGATAATCGTCACTGGCGTTGGCCGTGAGCGGCAGTCGACCTCGGGCCCGTTGGGTTTGTAGCGCAGCGCGCTTAGCGCTACACTACCACTACACTACCACTACACTACCTCTACAACCAACGTCAACTCCACTCACCACCACTGTCACCACCACTGTCACCACCAATGTCACCACCACTGTCATCACCACTCACCACCAATGTCACCACCACTGTCACCACCACCAGTCACCACTACTGTCACCACTACTCACCACCAATGTCACCACCACCATTCACCACCACTGTTATCACCACTGTCACCACCACTGTCACCACCACTCACCACCAATGTCACCACCACTTTCACCACTACTGTCACCACCACTGTCACCACCACCACTCACCACCACTGTCACTACCACTGTCATCACCACTGTCATCACCACTGTCACCACCACTCACCGCCACTGTCATCACCACTGTCATCACCACTGTCACCACCACTCACCACCACTCACCGCCACTGTCACCACCACTGTCATCACCACTGTTATTACCATGGGGCAGGGTGGCGCAGTGATGGTAACACTTTTGCATCACCGGAAAGACGAGCCCTGGATTCGATTCCCGACTCGGGCACCTTTTCTGCGTGCAGTTTGTATGTTCTCCCACTTCCGCATTGGGTTTCTCAGCGTTCTCCGGTATATATTGTATATGTAAAACACGCAATGTAACTGGGATTGGCCAAACATCGCAATGCTGAAAACATTCTATAAATTACGCAACTAGGATTGAGAAAGTGTCGCAAGACTCAGTGGGGCTTTCCTGGATAACAAGCATTATATACAATACTACTACTACGGCTTTCTGCGTTGATCAATTTTTTCCCTTTCAAATAGCTATACAGTTCCACGCTGCACACGCCCGATGATGGTTAAACACATCCCATGTGACGCGCGAAGCAGTTAATCATAATAATTTGCGCTAATTAGGCGCCTTTCACGCTGTGTTTCACGTGACGTTGGACCGGAGTTTGTCAGAGAACGGCCTGCGGAAGGAGATACCAAGGAACTATTCCTGAAAATGCATCGACTTTTCTGTTTTTCCTTCCAAACAACACTAGGGAGCGCACTTTCCCACACTCTGTGCTACAGAAAAAAAAAACGTTCGTGTCAGCGACAGTGATTCTCTGTAGCTCTCGCCGCTGGAAAAAAACGCGTTGCAAAAATTAAACAAGTGGAACCAATTGAGCAACGATAACAACACACTAGATTCGCGTTACCTTTATTGCTGTTGCGCGGTCATCAGTGACCGGATTGAGGCCACAACTTCGCTGCACTTGAGTAGTACCCGGATTCGATACGAATGCCCTGAAACTCGGGTTCGAATCCTGGTTCTCAGCGGTGTGGGCTCAGCGCTCCGACTGGCTGCACCACCCGGCCACCTCCTTTGTAGCTAAAGCCTTCGCGGACTTCAGAAGCTCGCCGGGACTTATTGACTGAGCAGTGTGGCGCGTTCACCAAGGTGCGCGCCGAGAAAAACAAACGACAATTCTGAACTAAATATACTTTTGTTCTTTCGGTAAAGTCACGTAGATAGAAAATAAAATAAAAAAAATTGAGTTTTGGGTTTTAACATTTATAATTTTTATATTTAAAAAATAAATGTTAATTAAAATTTTACATTTTTATTTTATTTTCTATCTACGTGACTTTACCGAAAGAACCAAAGAATATGAATTCCTGCAGTCACAAAAAAATAAATCTGAACTCTGTATTTTTCCTTCCACCACCCACCCACCCTCTCCAATGATATGCCAATAAATTCCAAATTGTCCTTGTCAGCCAAATCGTCACATTATCTCTCTTTCTCTCACACACGAACTATCTCCCCTTTCAAACACGTTCGTCTCCACGGCAGTCAAATGGACCTGGCCATTGTGGTCAGATTGAAGTGAACACCAAAATGCCACGTGATGTTTTTGTGTAGCCATCGGTGACAGGGGCTGTGACCGTCAACCCCTCCACCCATGGTTCAGTCTGGAAATGCGTACATTCCGTCAACGTCATATTGAATTTCCAGTGCGCGGTGCGCGGTGTGACTCCAAATCAGGACAATCCCCTGACAATGATTCTCTCCATCTCGCCAACACAATTACAGCACGCGCGAACTGCGCAGTTGATTTAAGCTTCAGATTAAATGAATTGCCACCTATGGCATGGCCACCGCGCATGCGATCAGCACACGCCGGGCGTGGAGGCGAGGGGTGAGTGGATCACGGACCATTTGTGAAACTCTCGTCTTGACGAGACGAAGTTGCGCATTTCTCTCGCAGTGCAGTGCGAAGAATGGTCCGCGGAAGACGGTGTCACAGAATTACTTCTGAGAGCTCTTGAAATTACCGCGAGGTGGCCAGGAGATGGCAGTACAGCGAGTCGATTGAAGCAAGTGGCTTTCATCGCAGCGTCATGCCCTCGTGTGAGCTGACGGAGGTTTTTTTTCCCTCTCCCGGAATTCCCATTTCCTCCCATTTGCAGTCAAGCATTCATCAACGGCATTTGGCGAAACATCCCGGTTGTAGCAGCATCCTCGTGCGAAGGAGTTTTGAGATTCTGCGAGACTTTCGTGGGGAAAAAATATATACGCATCCAACAAAGGGAATGGTTGTCCTAATTACACGCGCGCACACTGCTGGGGCCCATGGAAATGAACAGATCCCTCTGCGAAATTCAGGTGGCGCAATGTAGAAGCAACTCTTATTTTGTTGTGGGATGGGTGAAGAGTCTCCGTCTACAACCCCTTTGTCGATCCACTGCTGGATGAAGGCCCCCACCTCTCGCCCGTGTTTTAAAATTTCGCTGTACGCAATGTTTACATCGCGGTCGAGGTACACTAAATTAACTGCGCAGTTCGCGCGTGCTCACTTGAGCAGGGTCTACGTCGACTTAAGCGAATCGGCCCGAAGTTGTGTCGACTCGACTGAGCGAGCCACGTGAGCATAGACAGATTGGTGAAATGGAGGGAAGCCCCATGGCTCATTGGGCTATCAGTTTCCACTGGGTGTTAATCGTGACTCGAACTCAGGTGGGTGGCCGGGTTTCATTGCACAGCGCGCTTAACCATCGCACCACAATCTCGCCATGACGACGGTCCATTGCCCCAAACGTCGTTCTATCATATTTGTGTTCGTTTTCTTTTCTTTTTTTTTAAGGCGGTCTTGTTGACGAGGTGTGTTGAGTCTCGTGCGTGTGCGCCCTCTGTTAACGCAGCAGCCGCAGTAGGATCGCCAAATTATAATTCGAGACAACTCTGGCCATCAGACTTACGCGGGTGTCATTAGAGGCACACTAATTTGCGGTGAGATATTGACGTTATTAGATAAATAGCTGCTTTGGACCGTTATTACGCATTTGGCCGTTAAAATAATTGCATAGCATTCAATCGCACGCGTCATCATTAGCCACGAAGCTTCAGTGGATGTATGCAAACTGCATGCGCACGTACACAATGATTATTTATGTTTGTATTATAATAGTTTGAATGTTACAGTCCTTTGTCAATCAACTGCTGGATGAAGGCCTCCTCCGCACGCCGGGTTTAAACATGGGTGTTGTTCGACCATACTTCACCGCTCTGGTCACTGCGAGTTGGTGAACACGGAGCCTTCGGACCAGTTCAGACATCGTTCGCCACCGATGTTATAGCCACGGTCGGGAATCGAACTCGGGTGGGTCTAGGTTCAATGCACATCGCACGAAGCACTGTTCCCACTGCCTCCTCCACACAATGTACAACATGTGAATACGCATCCGAAGTGTGCAGAGCGCGCGTATACGAACAGCGCATTCGGACAAAGCGAAGAACAAAACGAAATCAAAACAAAATCACGGATAGGCAGATTGTTCCGCGGTGGTGAGCACTGAGCACCAGGCTGTGCTCGATCACTGTGATTCAGAACATGAACCGCGCCGAGCCTCAAGACCGGTTTCCAGGAGGGGTTCTGCAATTAGCGTGTTTGTATAATTCACGATGCGTTTATTTGTATTGTTGGCGATTAGAAAAGGAAAGGGAACGTACACAACTCCGTACAGATGGCGCCGTGCGCTTCTCTCTCGAATCATTCGGGCGAGGCTTAGTCGACCACGAGAGAAGCGAACGTTTCATCCTCGGAGAAGGAGCTCGAGAAGTACACGGAACGGCTCGTGAGACGCGTGCTGTACTGTGGTCAGCGCTTTTGCGCTGATGCTGAATTCCCCCACCCATCACCCTTTCGCTCGCTCGCTCACTCACTCACCCACCCACCCCTCCACTCTCGACTCTGACAGGTGGTCTGGCTGCGGTGGGGAGGGGAAGGTAGGGGAAGAGGCGAGAGAGCGAGGGAGGGAGTGGACGGGAGCAACTGTTGAGGTGCACGCCCAGACACACCGCGCGCACACAGCCAGCGATGATGATGATGATATAGTCGTCTCTCTCGCTCGCTCGTTCGCTCTCCTGCGCGCGCGCGCAACACGCGGACACGCGCGCATTAACCTGGCCACGTGCGCGCGCACGGACACACACACAGAGAGATACACACACACAGACAGACACACACGGGCACACACACTCACCTACACACTCGCTCACTTACACAATTACTCCACTCAGAACAAATGTCAATCGCGGCTTTGCGGTTTTTTGCGCGCGCCACGGTTTAGCTATTAAACACCGGCCGAGAGACGGAGAAGACGAATAATAAGTAGAATTTTTTTTCTAAAAAAAAGCAAGACGTAGAAGAAAGAAGGTGGGGGGGGTGGTGGAGGGGGTGCGGCGGGTGGTGATGGTGGGTTGTGGTAGTGGTGGTGGTGCCAGTGGTGGTACTACAAAACAAGCGACTTAAAACTATTAACAAAGTTACATCAGCGCTTTTGCGCGCGCTCGTCTCTATATATACGAGGCCGCGGCTGCCGCTGCGGCGTCTGCAGACCGAATGCGGATCACGTCGGACGAAAGAACCGGGGCGACAATCAGCGAGTCATGCGGAGACAGCGCGTGGAGGAGACGACAGAAGAGCGATCTCTCCACCGAGGGACGAAAACTGTTTGAGCAGCGCCGAGCTGCGTGACTGAACCGGGACACAGTCGCGCCCTTAGCAGCACAACGAGAGACAACCCACCCGGCTGCATCATTATCAGCAGCAAGCAAGCATCAAGACACCTCGGACGCTCAACTCGCATCAGCAGTCGACCCGTGCGAGCACACACCGCGAACTGCCACGCGCGAGCTGGTCGGCAACACGGACAGCATCATGTATGCGCGCATCCGCCGCTGGATACTGCATTGCCTCCTGACTGTTGCGGTCTTCTACTTTCGCATAGGGTAAGAGCTCGCTTTCGTTTAAAAACGCGGGCTCGTTGCGCGGTGTTGTGACGAGGCTGCGATGATGAAGCGTCTGTGGGCACGCGCGAACGCGCTCATGAACGCGACGTCTGCGCCACTGCGCGATGATGATGATGATGTCTAATAAATGAATCAGAACGCATCGGTGTGAAGATCGTAAAGGGAGACTGGACGCGGAAAAGTCTGCACGCTGATGTGTTCACTCGTCTCGGTCACGACTGGTGGTCTGTGCTGCATTCCTGCTCTGCTGTCTCCATTCATTCCTGATCGTGGGCCATGAAACTCCGCAGACACCCCACGAGCCTTCACATCCTCGTTCGGCCACTGTGGACCTTGCGTCTCGGTCTCTGTCCCGGTGCTCACCGTGTTCATCATCACTCTCAACTCTCAACACCGTACATCCGATGTCCTTTTCTCGGTCGCTGTCCCGGTGCTCACCGTGTTCATCATCACTCTCAACTCTCAACACCTTACATCCGATGTTCTTTTCTCGGTCGCTGTCCCGGTGCTCACCGTGTTCATCATCACTCTCAACTCTCAACACCTTACATCCGATGTTCTTTTCTCGGTCTCTGTCCCGGTGCTCACCGTGTTCATCATCACTCTCAACTCTCAACACCGTACATCCGATGTCCTTTTCTCGGTCGCTGTCCCGGTGCTCACCGTGTTCATCATCACTCTCAACTCTCAACACCTTACATCCGATGTCCTTTTCTCGGTCTCTGTCCCGGTGCTCACCGTGTTCATCATCACTCTCAACTCTCAACACCTTACATCCGATGTCCTTTTCTCGGTCTCTGTCCCGGTGCTCACCGTGTTCATCATCACTCTCAACTCTCAACACCTTACATCCGATGTTCTTTTATCGGTCTCTGTCCCGGTGCTCACCGTGTTCATCATCACTCTCAACTCTCAACACCTTACAGCCGATGTTCTTTTCTCGGTCGCTGTCTCGGTGCTCACCGTGTTCATCATCACTCTCAACTCTCAACACCTTACATCCGATGTCCTTTTCTCGGTCTCTGTCCCGGTGCTCACCGTGTTCATCATCACTCTCAACTCTCAACACCTTACATCCGATGTTCTTTTCTCGGTCTCTGTCCCGGTGCTCACCGTGTTCATCATCAACCTGTCACCTTTCATCCGATGTCCTTTTCTCGGTCTCTGTCCCGGTGCTCACCGTGTTCATCATCAACCTGTCACCTTTCATCCGATGTTCTTTTCTCGGTCGCTGTCCCGGTGCTCACCGTGTTCATCATCAACCTGTCACCTTACATCCGATGTCCTTTTATCGGTCTCTGTCCCGGTGCTCACCGTGTTCATCATCAACCTGTCACCTTACATCCGATGTCCTTTTATCGGTCTCTGTCCCGGTGCTCACCGTGTTCATCATCAACCTGTCACCTTACATCCGATGTTCTTTTCTCGGTCTCTGTCCCGGTGCTCACCGTGTTCATCATCAACCTGTCACCTTTCATCCGATGTTCTTTTCTCGGTCTCTGTCCCGGTGCTCACCGTGTTCATCATCAACCTGTCACCTTTCATCCGATGTTCTTTTCTCGGTCTCTGTCCCGGTGCTCACCGTGTTCATCATCAACCTGTGACCTTACATCCGATGTTCTTTTCTCGGTCTCTGTCCCGGTGCTCACCGTGTTCATCATCAACCTGTCACCTTTCATCCGATGTTCTTTTCTCGGTCTCTGTCCCGGTGCTCACCGTGTTCATCATCAACCTGTCACCTTTCATCCGATGTTCTTTTCTCGGTCTCTGTCCCGGTGCTCACCGTGTTCATCATCAACCTGTCACCTTTCATCCGATGTTCTTTTCTCGGTCTCTGTCCCGGTGCTCACCGTGTTCATCATCAACATGTCACCTTTCATCCGATGTCCTTTTCCTCCCTTCTCTTGTCCCGCTCGCAATGTGAGTCGACTTTTCCTTCAGCTCGTCCGCGATGGGTAGATACCCCTCTCCCCCTCACTCTCGCCCATGGTCTATATCGCTGTAAGCTGTGGTTTTGACCATGAAGTCCAGACACTCTCAACACGCGGTTGAGTTATTTCACATGCGCGGGATTCACGTCGACTCAAGCGAGTCGACGTGAATCCTTTTCACAATCGCCTGAGCCATTGTGAAAAGGTGATATTGGCATGTGTCGATTTAAGGTTTCCTCCTACGAGAAGTGAACATTGTTTGTGTGCGTGTGTCGACGTAATTCTACCGACATCAGTGAGGTCGCGATAACATAGCGCATGCTAACAGACCCAATCGTTCGTGCTTAACTCTGTACCACAGTGTATCATTTCGTCAATTACTTTGAGCGAAATCGAGATGCCAACCAATGTCCCGATCGCTAACAATGGGACGTCGTGAATAGCCACGCCTTTGTGTCCTCCGTTGTGCAAAATACATCGTCAAAGCACGCATTTAAAGTAAATAAAAAAACGTCTCAAATTGTAACAGTCAAAAAGAATGTCAATCAGGAGGTCGGAACTTTTCTTTGCCACCAGCCTCACAAATGTGCACATTGCCCGGATAGTTAACAGCAATTAAAGCGATTAGCACCGCGCGCAACACCCCCGCTAATGAGCCGCATGCACGCGGGCCCCACCGACTTTCACCTGCACGCCCGAAACCTGCGCTCGGAGATAAACACCCGAGTGCCTGCTGCTGCCATCATGCCAGCCAACTCCACACCCCACACCACGCTCCCGTGTCTCTCTCTCTCTCGCCCCACCACCCACCCACCCATCCACCCACCCTTTTTTTTTTTGCAAACACCCTCCTCATCCCAACTCATTGAGATAACGTCAACATTTACTGACCACATAACTGAGCGTCCTCGCGCGCCCGCGCGGTCTCGTTAACTTATATGGCCCTGCAGGCAACGCTTGCGATTTGCCCTTAGAGAAGCTCCTTCCAAGGGCCAGCCAGCGCGCTGATGATACCTGATACGAATGACAGTGGAATGTACACCTCTGTCGGTCGGGGAGGGGGTGTTTGACTATACTTCACCGCGCTAGTCAGCGCGTGTTAAAGGGTTTAAAGGGGATAGGAGAGCGCTTCCGTTATTAACCGAGTCCGACAATCGGACCCAAGTCGCCGGTCCATCGCGCCATGCGCTAACCAGTGCACAGGGTTGACTGTTTAGAAAGTTTCCAAACGAATGCCTCGCCGAGTCTCAGCACTCTTGTTTTTGGAAGGTCCCGCCAAGATTTGGATGTTTCGATGAGTCTCGTTAATGAGCGTTTGGACGTATGTGAGAAGAAATGGGGAGTGTCCGTAGAAACCCTACGACTGGAAAGTTGATTATACATATATACGTACGGATATATCGTGTGCTATAAAGGAGGTCCATGACCCAAAACGTCACCTATTACGGATGTTTTGCTTTTAAGAAAGCGTTATGTACGAATGTGTATATATATAAAAAAAAATATAACTGTGCAACTGCTGCACGCATTGTTACGCGAGAGAGTGTGAAGCTCAAAACTCCGCACAAAATAGATTCAAGAATCCACTGCCGTACCACATCCGGCGACCTCGCATCGCGAGTCTACGACGCGAGCTATTCCCCGTCGGTGTCGCAGTGCTCGTTGTAGAAAGCAACCGGGCTCGAAGCTTGCCGAAGTCACCGCGCTGCAAAGATCCGACGAGATTCGGTTCGCGTTCAGAGTAAATCTGTTGAGGTCACAGCGAAGTCGCGCAGCGAGTAGCTTGGGAAGCGAACGGAAAGTGGCCACCAATTGGCTGTCGAATGCTTTCAGTAAACAAGAAAAGTCGCGCGTACGCATGGATTTTATATCGTTTTCTAAAAATGTTGCTTTAACCCCGGATGATTTTAATTAATTATTGTCTTGATTAATGCTATTTTATAACAAACGACGCACAATATCCCTGGGTTCGATCGTCCGTGAAGCTCACGGGGCCAGGAGCCCCAGAAACCGCTTGGTCCGCACACAACCCATGGCATCAGCAGCAGCAGGTGTGGATACCTGATGATGATGATGATGCACACATGAAAATTTACAATCTCTGCTGGAGTGCGTGGAGACTGTGGTCATAGCCCAGAACAGAACCGTGGGACATATCGACATAGACTCAACCTGCTCATTCACACATCAGAATGAGAAGTTTATTTCCAGAGTAAAGCCCGTTGAGCTAAGACTCTCTCTCTCGTTTTATTTTAATGGGGAACTCGGTCGGCAGACGAAATCAAATGATTTCACAATCAACATAATTAATAAACAAGCAAAAAAAATAAACGTAATAATAACGACAGCAGCGACCTTCTCAACTTACACTCGCGCCCAAACTAAAGTGATTTTAATCGAGTCCGTTTACACGAGGACAGAAATACTCAGGAGGGAGGAATCATCATCATCATCATCACAATCATCACGGCGACGAGTCGCCATCTCGCTACTCCTTCTGGAACAGGCATCATCCGGTCCATCAGGCACCTCGATGTAACATTTCGGCTCTTGCTTTCCCCAAACGCGAGCCGCGCGACGATGGAGAACGCGGCGCGTTCTCCATCGTCGCGCCCAATCACGGACGGGCGGACGGAGTAGTGCCCTAGCGCATGAGCGTTTGCACACTTAAGTTGGAGAGACGAAAATGCATTCGAGAAAAGGAGAAAAAGCAAAAGCGTGTCTGTCAATTCTAAGAATCGGTCCCAGAGGCTGCGTTGCGCAATGAAAGCGGAGACACGCAACGCACCCTAAAGCCGTCGGCTACAGGTGACCGCTTTGGTATTCGAACGCCTCGACTCGACTCACGTACAGTGGCGAGGTGGTTGAGAGAGCAGGGGGGGGGGGTGGAGGTGAGGGGTGGGGGTGGTATGATTTTCAAGAGGGCGATTCAGTTTAATTTATTGCAACCAGGATGCATGTCGGATTGAACTGCGATATACACATCATCATCATCGCCGCCGCCGTTGTCGTGGTGGTGGTGGTGGTTGGTCGCATTCTTTAGATCTT